CACAACAAGGTTGTGTAAATTCAATGCTAAGAAGGTGATCTTGTCATTTCTATATCAACAAGAATTTCGTCAATATAATATGGAATTTTATCCAACTGAATTTTTCAGGTGCCAGTTACACTGCTGCATCACAGGTATTTAGATAGCCACCATGGAGTGCTGGCGGAAAACATGTAGTCGCGTATGACTTACTCACTCACGGACTCGCGACGCACGGGGAACATATTTCCATTTAGTCGGTACTTGTAATTGTTCACGGTTACGGCCACAGCCACCGCAGCAAAACAGTATCCTTCCGGCACTCAGGACTCGCCTGCCTAGTGCGGACAGGAATGACCTACGTATAGGTGCAGGCTGTTTTTCCGTTGCTTCTATCTCATCCTCATCGATACTTATCACGTTTATCTCCTCCTCTTCCTCCAATGACACAATATTTTCCTCATCATCAAATGGCAAGATTTCCTCTTCAGCAATTGAAAAGATTTTATCATCTTCCGCATCGGACATAATTGGCTCCGAGAGCGATGTACTTGACGGCCACTTTTGCTTTAACTCTGAAGGGCACAATTTATCTTCATTCGCTGACTCCGCTAAATCCGAGTACGAGGCCGACCTTAGGTCCGAGTCTGACAGCCACATCTGGCTTAAATCTGATGGGCCTAATTGCCTTTTGCTGCTTTTTGCTGACATCAGCTCCGAGTGCAATTCTATCTTTGGCACCGATTCTGTTGGCAATGTCTGCTCTACAGTTAGGGGCTGCAGTTGTTTATCGTCCGATTCGCACTTAAGCTCCGAATGCGAGGTTGAAGAAAGTTCTGACATCGATGGCATTGTCTGATTTTTTATGTTTGGCGGCACCAATTTTTCATCGATCCTGGCATACTTAAGCTCCGAATGCGATGCTGACCAACGTCCCAAATTCGAAGTCTGCTCTAAGTTAGATGGCAGAGATTGTTCATCGTCGGTTGGCCACTTTACCCCCGAGTTCAATGATGAGTCCGATGGCCACACTTTTTCAACGTGTATTGATGATAAGTCCGAAGGGGGTGTTTCAGGTCTCAGACTCTGGTCCGATTCTGAATTAGCTTCCCAGTCCGAAGGGAGTATTTCAGGTCTCAGACTTTGGTCCGATTCTGAAATAGATTCCCAGTCCCGTAGCACCTCCTTGTCCGATGGCCACTGCTCCTCCAAATCCAATGATCACAGAAACTAAGACTGCGTTTCCGAACTAAATGACGCGTTCATTCGCTCATCGAACTCTGACCAGAGGCGCGATGTTAAATTTGGATCAGTGTTCTCGTCAGTTTTCCGTTTGTCTGGGCAATATTTTTTCACGCTGAAATAATTGAGCGTGCTTACTGCAACTATATCTGCAGATGTCTTTTCTGGTAAACGCACATCCGAAGATCTGTGCCGACATTCATCTTCGTCCGAAGAATCGTCGTCGTCCGAGTCACATGACGCAGATGAGCTGTTGCGAATCGGCACCAAGTACTTGCTCCCTATCAAGGCCAAGCGTATCTCTTCGAACAAATCGTCCAGCATCCCTGTAATTTCAGCTACCAATGGTCCCTTCTTTGTAAAATCCGTTATCGTTGTATCTCCTTCATTCAATCCAGTTTCCGTATTCATTTGCGCATTAACCGTGGTGGTGCTACAGTTTGATATAATCGACCTTTGGGACGCGCACCACATGCTCCCAACTGCCGTGTCTAGGTCATCCGAATACCCGGAACTTGTTATGTTTGTTTTGTGTTTTGTGTTCATTTTTTTTGGAATGCGTTTATACCTACCGCGAGGTTTTAAGAGATTTACTAATAGCTAGAAGGCTCTCTCCGACCTTACCAGCCCCAACTAGTGAAAGTAAGAGCTAGCTCAGGACCTCTTAGTGAGACTCAGATATCGAATATCTGAGTCCGCAGGCTCCCCCACCACGACAAGGTGGGTCTCATAGGGGGAGAAACCAATAGGTAGGTAGAAACGTAAATTAAAAACGCAAAAAAAAAAACAGTAAATGGTCAGTTGTAAGACAGGACAAAAATAAACTAAAAATAAAAATAAATAAATATAAAACAAACTAGGTAATCAAACAATATTTTCAATTAAGTCATGCATTACAGTATATCTAAACACAATATTATTACATAGTAAAAACTTAAGACTTACAATTTCAATGTAGTGTTTAAAATGAGTACCTATAGTCATTACCAAAAATAGGTAAATTTATTAATAAAATGTATTTTCATGTAAGTTGTTTTTAAGTATTCGTGGTAGGTTGAAACTTTTTTCAACAAATAAATTACCTATATAATTAGCTATTATTAACTGTCAATGTACAGTATAGACGTATAACCACGGAACGGTGTTAAAAAGTTCGGGGTAGGTAAGTATAGTTATCTTAAAACTATTCTAAATTTATTGAAAATGCCATTGTGTTTATGTTTATACAAATAATAATATACATAGTGATGAACAGTTTTGAATCCCAACGAATTATATTTTTTGTAACACATTTTTTATAATTGTTATTTTTCTTTGAAAATAGTTAATTTGACTGCGTACGAGTTGATTCCCGGGTACCTGTTTACCAGCACCGACACCGTTGAGGTGATTCCCGGGTCATTAGAGGATACGTACGAGTTGATTCCCTATTGTTGCATATCAATTATCAATAGATTGCAAGAGTAAAGAATTTACGACAGTATAAAGAGTTTGACCGTCACACACAACTCGCTCTTATATCCACCGAGACCACGCGCGAATTTACAAAAAAAAAAAAAATTTAAGAGAAGAGATGTCACGGTATACTGGTAATCTCATTACCAGATACCAATTTATAAAAACAATGTGTTACAAATTTTTACCAAATTACTAAATTTTTTTATATTTTTTTACCTAGTTACTACTAAATGTTTTTAATAATAATATAATTCAATAAATAATCAATAAATAAAAATTGAATGATTTTCAAAATATGAAAAAACTAAAAAAAACAACATTTTTGAGAAACTTGTCAGCCAACCTCCTCGTGATGTTTCTTGGGTTATGTTAATAGGCTGAATATTTTACCAAATATTGAATAAAATATATAATGACCCGGGAATCAACTCGAACGTAACTCTTAATGACCCGGGAATCAACTAATACACGAGAAAGGTCTCGGGAATCAACTCACTGATTGCGGTTAATTTTGAACTCAAAACACACTTCTATAAAAGAATTGATGAATATATTCCAACCCTATTTTCGATATTTTTAACTTGCCTTTACATAAATGGAAATTAAACTAAGATTAGTTAAATATTTAAAATCTTTCAAATACTTCAAAAAGATCCAAGAAATTGAAATTGTGAAATGTTTATTTTGTTTTTAAATACTAATGTAAATATTTGATAAAAAAAATCAAGTCTCTACAATTTGTTGTTGAATTTTTTTGATACAAAAATTACAAAATATACTAAAAAAACTTACATTATTGTAGAACTAATATTAGAAATAATATTCACCACTTCGCTCATAATCAAATATGTTGGTGTTAAACAGTGTTATATATTACCGTAGCCCGTAAGGCATGGATGGCCAAACTGCGGCACGCGTGCCATTTGTGGCACATTTGTTGTTATGGAATGGCACACTAGAGTCAGATAAAATAATATATAATTTTTAAAAATAAGTATTATTAAATTAAATTATATTATAGCAGTGGAATTTTCCGATTATTATACCGATAAGAGAATTGTTACGGTATTCGTGTACTAGATTACTACAATAAAGTTAGTCGTATTAGAATCGCCGTGCCCAAATTGGTTTGCAGATTTAGCTCGACATATACATGTGAGAAAAGTTTTTCGCGGATGATTTTCATTAAAAATAAGTATAGAACCAAACTAACAAATTCTCATTTGAAAAATTTAATGCTTCTATCTTCAACTAAACTTAAACCAAATTACGAAGAGATAATATCCATGAAGCAAATTCAACATACCTAATCATTAAAAAAAAACTTTGCAATTGAACTGTAATAAAAACAGTACCTATGAAAAAAATCTAAAATTTATATTTATGTAAACTTTGTAAACTGTAAAGAAATAAATATTTTTTAAGGCACATTCTCAATTTTGTATACATTATTTGGCACAATATAAAAAAAGGTTGGCCACCCCTGCCGTAGGGCATCGATTAAGTTTTCCACAAGCACAGTCATCATATCTGTTGTTGTCACTCCACATTTTACAGTTTTGAAATCAAGTTTTCAGAAAATAAATGCAATAGATAATAATTAGTATAATAACTATTTTATAAAAAGACAATAAAATAATTATTGAGACAGAAAAGTTAGATGTGAAATCTAAACTATACTGAAGATGAAAGTGTAGGTAGTGTTAAGGTCGATTCGCACTATACGGAACGTCAACGTCACGTCACAGATCGGCAACGTCACGTCAAAAATAGAATACATTCGCATTATCGGTAACGTCACGGAAAAGCCATCAGTCCATCCAGTCCAGAATTCTGTTAGGTTAAACTAGGTCTAGTACATTCTGTGTTTTAAATTCATTTTTTTTTTTTATTAAATATTCGTATTTGTATCATGCCGAAGTTCACTAAAAAACAATTAGCAATGATTGCCTTAATTTTGGACGACGAAGAAAAAAAATTTAATCGTACTAAGAAAATGTGGGTACGAAAAATGTTTACTGCGAGGAAATTCGTAGGAGAATTTCACACATTATTTAAAGAATTAGAAGATGAAGAAATTTCTTTCTATAAATATTTTAGGATGTCACAAAGTCAATTTTATGAACTTTTAACTAAAATTCAAACTAAAATTCAAAAACAAAACACTACATTCCGAGAAGCTATTAGTCCCAAGGAAAAACTAATGGTCTGCTTAAGGTAAGAAATAAAAAAATTAGTATTTTATATTTTGTATTTTTTGTATTTAAACAAAATAGTTAATATTATTATTAACAAACTTATTACTTTAACTGTGTTAAAAGTTAATTTGGCTGAAAATTTTCAAAATAAGATTGTGCAGATGACCTTCCGGAACTTACAGATGAAGGTGTTTGAGTGTGACTAAACATAAATGAATCATTTGGAGTAGATGAGTTTGACGCACGTGAAATTTCATAAATTTGTTGTTGTGGATGGACTGCTTGTTGGATGTTTTGAGTTTGAATAAATGGTATTGGGTGTATATTTGACCTGTTGTCTGGAGCTGGAAAATTCATTGATGTTGGCACTTGGTAATTTGTATTCTTACTTTGTAAATGTGCCCACTCTAGTTCGGATACAACATTGAAAAGTTTTGACTTTGCCATATGCTGGTACTCGGGTGAAAAAGTTTTTACAGTAGCGGCTAGACTATTGAAAAATATGTCTATTGGATGATCATTAGCAGTGGCTTTTGTTTCTTGCTTATCACTTTCTACTAAATATTTCATTAGTACAGATGAAGCTGTCTCTGTTTTTTCAAATTTTCTTTTGTTTAGCAAATACCTAGATGAACTTTTTTTTGGAGATGCTGTAGATTTCTGATTTATGTTGTTATTAGAATTTTGTTCTGAAGTATCCCCAGTAATAACAACGCTCTCCATACCTTCGTGTTCATCATTCGATCCGTCACTCAAGCTATCAGGTTCTGCTATGTTGGTTTGTGTTTCTCTTTCTTTAAAAAATGGAATTATAAATGACATTGAATCTTCATACTTCCACTTCTTTTTAAGTTCAGCGGCTTGTCCACTTTTTGTAATATTTTTTCTCATTGCTTTTCTCAGCTGGTCACGTAATGAGATCCATCTATTCTTGCACGCTGGGCCTATTAAAAATATAAAATTTGGTTATAACAAAAAGTGTTTTAAAGTTTCAATCCTTAGCTATTATAACAAAATAATAAAATCGATTCAAGATAAATCGCTCTGCTCAGAATCTAATATTTTGGTTATTCGTATACGGTTTAATACTTTTAACGCATGTTTGGTAATTACTTGAATAAAAATAACTTATAAATTAAAACATTTTTGTTAATTTAAATTTAAATTTATTATATTGTTCGAACAGTTTAACAGTTATGTAAAATTAATTATTTAGGTTTTTAGCGACTGGTGATTCGTTTCAAACTATATCATTCAGTTATCGGCTGGGGCATTCGACTGTTCATTACATTGTTAAAGAAGTATGCAAAGCTATAGTAGACGAATTGTTAGCTGAAGTGATGCCGCAACCAAAGGAAAAAGATTGGGAAAAAATTGCTGACGACTTCTGGAAAATGTGGAACTTTCCTAATTGCTTAGGAGCATTAGATGGGAAACACGTGGAAATTTTTGCTCCTCCGAACAGTGGTTCCCAATATTTCAATTATAAGAAAACTTTTTCTATTAATTTGTTAGCTTTGGTTGACGCAAATTATAAATTCATTGCTGTAGATGTAGGATCCTACGGTAAGAATAGTGATGGTGGAATATTTGCCAATTCAAATTTAGGAAAAGCGTTGGAACAAAATAAACTACATGTTCCAAAAGATAAAAATCTTCCCGGAACTCAATGTCCAGTGCCATATGTCATTGTGGCGGATGAGGCATTTCCCCTAAAAACCTATCTATTAAGACCTTATCCTGGTTCTGTAATTAATGGTGATATACAGAAACAAGTATTCAATTATAGATTGTCAAGAGCTAGGCGCATATCCGAAAACGCATTCGGAAACTTGGTGCAAAAATTTCGAATCTTTTTTAGAAGTATAAAATCTTTACCCGAAAATGTTGACAATATTATATTAACTACTTGTATTTTGCATAATTATATTAAAGATAATATTTTAATTACCCAACATTTAGACCCACCAGAATGTGAACCTAATTGGGGACGTATACATAGACAAGGAGGAAATGCCCTCACTACTGCTTTTAATGTGCGTGAAACCTATAAAACTTTTTTTAACTCTGAAAATGGATCATTACCATGGCAGAGAGATAAGTTTATGTAAAATTAAAAAATAAAAGCTGTAAAAGTAATATTAAGTACCTAATAATAAGTAATATTAGTTAAATTAAGTTTATATCTAGGTACCTGTTGTTTTCAATTCACTACCAATTTTTCTCCAGATATTATCTTTGTGAATGTTGTCGCTATAATTTTTATGCGTCATATCATACAGTTCTTGATATTGGCGTACTTCCTCAATCAACATCTCATCGTTCATGACTATTTAATGTTTAAACTATTAATATGTTATTTAATTAATCGAATGATTAATGTTATTTCATTTTCTACTGTAAATTGGAGAATTAAATAAATATTGTTTACTTACTTTATATGTCTATATTTTTGTATTTAAATATTCAAAAATTATAATTTTTAGTTAACGAGCTTACACATTCAAAATATAGTTTATATAAATTGTTGACGGAAACGTTCCGCGTTGACATTCATACTATCCGTTAAGGACAAGAACGGACCGGTTACGTCACGTCAAAATATAGTTTTCGATAAACGTTGCCGTTCCGTGACGTTGACGTTACGTAATGTTGCCGGTGTATGTGAACATTGCGGTATAAATACATAGTAAGATATTTTGACGTGACGTTGCCGATCGGTGACGTGACGTTGACGTTCCGTATAGTGCGAATCGACCTTAATACTCAATGTGACTATTGTAGCCGGTTCATTTTTTTCGAAAGAGAATATGATATAACATAGATACCTAATTCATATTAAATTAATTGCTCGATTTTTAAAAACACATAAGACGTGTGTACCTATGTATAATCTGTGCCAAAACAAAAACCTGTAGTAGAATAAAAATAGACTAATTAAAAGATAGGGGTAACCAGGGCTAAGTGGGGAGTGAGTGGTGAGAGAATAGGGGGGTACCCGGCTCAATAGCCCATAAATTTCAATTCAGATAATAATTACACTACTACTTGATATTATTATTACTTATTAGATTACCTTTTAGTTTATTAACCGATGTTATAATTTGAAATATTAAATCCACTTACCTTGTATTGATGTGGATCCTTGTTGTGGTGGTGGTAACGTCTCTGGTAGGTGTGGGTCGATACGCATTACTATTACTTTACGATTTTTACGATACTACGTTCTTTTCTCTAAATACAGTGCGTTTACTTTTAGCCTTTGTGGTGGAATATAGCTACGTTTTCTTTTCTTACTTTAATGACACTTAGAAAACTTTAATGCGGTGAATGGATCGGAATTAAGGAATAGAATTAGTCACTATGATTATTTTTTTTATTATTTGCACTCTGTGCTCATGTTGGTGTTAGAACACCTTTATAGTGATTTATTCGTTTACTGTGGTCGACGTTGTGTTTTGAGTTTGGGCCTCGATTTCGCCTATATGTTTGAGGTTCGGTTTTCTTATGAGACAAGGAATTGGTTGTGGCGTTATTCCACCTGTTCCAGACTCCTATGATCAAAAAACGTAGAACTGCAAATACACTTTGAAAGCCCAGAGTTCGTTATAAACAATGAACTGTCAAGCGGCGCCTAATATTGGTCGGGTGGCTATAATAGTGACTAAATGGATCGAGTTATTAAAAATATTTTATTTGAGTCCCTACTTTTTAATATGGGAAAATTATAGGATGATTTTAATTAAAGATCTCTAAGGCAGTGCAATAAATTTAAACAAGTTTTTAGTGGCGAAATAATGGGGAGAATAAACTAATGTGAATTCATACCTGGTGTTAGAATAAACGCAATAATTTAATTAACTTCATTAAAAAAGAAAGAAATTATATCAAAACGAAATTCACGTTTTCTTGAGACGAGCTGCGTGGACGTGGTGTGCCTTGTTGATTGTGATGATGCACTGCACCGACACAGTGCATCGTATGATGCTGCTGCTGGATCCGACGAGCGTGAAGAATAGAGCGAGAGTGAGCGAGCTGTGGTTTGCGCGTTGTGTATATATAGGAGGTCGATTGTTTTATCCCCCACTTAATAGTCGTCGCGTTGCCATAGACTGGTTGCGTTTGCCACGTGAATCGGGCGTTCAAATGCCTTTGTTGTTGGATATTGTCGTTGGTCTTTGCATTTGTTACTTTATTTGCAAAGGTATGTCTAGCCATGACATGTACCCCTATGGTGTTGTCATTTTCCTTAACTTACGTGACATTTTTTAGCAATGATATTATGAACGGGCGTTGTAATATTGTGTGTATGTGGAGTACGTGCCTTTATTGAAGTAGAATTAAAATGACTGTCATTATGTCTTCCGTGCATATTTTAATGTGCATAGATTCTTGTAAGTTGCCTTTTGATGAAGTTATATCTTATATGTGGTATACCTTATTGGCGGCAAAAATGTTCATTATGCAACACTTAGCCACTTGGCCTTTGACATGATATTGTATTGTTGCTCTGGATTCAGTAGTGTGTTTCTGCCCGTGCAGAAATTAATATTAAATTGTATATGTACTTGATATGATTTGATGGGCCTTTGAGTGAGCATGTGCAATGTTGGTTACGCCATAACGTGTTGTTGTTCGATATCTTGTTGATTAATTCTGTTTATACGAATACGAAGACTGAAGGCGTTCACCGGAAACGGTAAATGATACGATTTGATAAGCTTTTGAGCACGGATATAGATACTAGTAGCCACCTAACCTATCTATATCCGTGATTTTGAGTGAGTCATAACGTGTTGTTGTTGTTTGATATCTTATCAGTGATTAATTTCATTTATGCCCAAATATGGATATATTTTTTTTAATGAGCGTCTGTCTGGGAATTTTAATGACTTCCTGTTGTTTTCACGATTATATGATGAATTATTCGTTTTGAAATACCGATTGCTTAATAATAGTTTTACTGCGTAGTATTTTAATTGCGTTTATTTTTCACACCAGAACATGTCTTCCCCTAGCCTTTTCACCCCATACGTTTATTATAGTATAAATTATAAATTATAAATTATAAATTATAAAGCATATTATTTATATATTACAAACCAATATGTAATTGCTCGTCATCTAAATATTAATTTTGGTAGTTTTCGACATGATAGAAAACGAAATTACATAATATTATGTAATCTGCAATACACTATCAATTTATATTGTTGGAATTTCCCGATGTTCCCGATGAATACATTGTCTGACTTAAAAATGTAATACAAGGCTCCTTATAAGCAGTCAATACAGCTATAACCAAAAACTCACCGATCATTATAATAGAATAGGCAGGCATGCGAATCATAGACCTCATAAATATTATATTGATGATGTAAATGCAATGTTTTTTTCAATAATATAACCACAGCACTTAATTCTCTAAGGATAAAACGGGGCGATGAGCATGCTGTTTAATCAATGATATTACTCTATGGGTAATCGGTCAAAAAGTCCGGGGACAAAAAGTCCGGGGACAAAAAGTCCGGGGACAAAAAGTCCGGAATGAAAAAAGTTGGACTAAAAGTCCGGATTTATTTTTTGATTGCCGGACAAAAAGTCCGAGTACATTTTTACTGTCGGACAAAAAGTCCGAAAATACAAAATTGTCTATTAAGTTTATACCTAATTATAATATAATACTATTTTTAAGTTATAATTATAAATATTTTTAGTTATATTTTTTTTATATATAGATATTATATACATGTAATATACATTTGTATTATACTTACCTACAGCAATCTTACAAATTAAATTTTCATAAACATTACGTTTGCCAATACAATAATAATAATAATAATAATAATAATTTGATATACAATACGTTTCCCTAAGAAATGATTGTCGATGTCAATACAATAATAATATTTTTTTAAAAAGTTATAAGTTTTAAAAAATCTAGTCTACAATAATAATTTCTATGTCAATAATAAAAAATCTAGTCTACAATAATAAT